ATTTGCAGTTATTCTATAGAATCAGCCTCCATTTGTGCAGCTGAATTGCTCCAATAACACAAGTTGCCACTGTGCAGCAGTTTTACAGTGTTTTGGGTTGTAGGTGAGCTGGTGTGCTCGAGGTGCAGCAGCTAACAGAGGCGTGGATGGACATAAACATCTGGATGTTGTAGAGGAAACAACAGTGTAGAGTTGCATCTAAGCCATTTGGAATTATTTCCCTGGAAATAACTTGTAGTTATGAAACTTTGATATAAACAGAAGAGTTTTTTGGGCTTTAAACAACGACCAGACGGGGATTTAAATTAAAAATAATAATAATTTTTTTTTGAAAAAGGAAAAAAAAAAGCAGATGTAAGTGTAAAAGCAAGGTGGGCATGTGTAGTTTGTTGCTTATCTTACAAGCAATTCCTGCCCTAATCAGCCTTCTGATTGGTCAGTCCACCTCTCATGGTTTCAGTAGATAGTCAGCAACGTATCGATCAATAATCGATTGATCGTCCATGTTTTTAATCATGGATGCATGACTTTTGCCGCAAAAGATGCTCAGCTGTATTGACTATAAAGCGACTTGTATGCTGTCTCAGGAGATTTTTGGCTTGTGTTGTACGCGGGAGCTCCAGTCGGACGTCATTAACCACCTCATGAGTCTGCTGCTAGCTTAACCCCCACAACGCTCTCAGCTTTACAACATGGACGTTTGTAGCCCAAGTGATCACCTCTTGTATTAAACACAAACAAGCTGCAGTCGTCCATCTCATTAATAGTAGGAGGCTCCACCTGGTGGAACAACCAGGAGCTGCAGCTGATCTACGGTTTGTTTTCTGCATTTCGCTCGTCTTCGGCCTTATCGATTTTTTTTTATTTTCGGTTAAATCAAAAGCTGCAGATTTATGATCAGACTTATGGTTCGTCATCTTGAACATCCCTTGTCTAGACTGAAATATTTCGACTACATGTGCTGCAATGAAAATGTTTACAGACAATCAATTCAATTTTGCTAAAATTTGCTGACATCTGATTCGTCGCTACAATTCGCTGACTCAGTGAAATATCTCAAAATCCACTTGACAGATTTGCACATAATTTTGTTCAAACATTTGAGGCTCCTAATCGCTTCAGGAAACCACGACTTCTTCGACAAACTGACCAGACACCTCGTCCACTCCGATTAAACGCTGTTGAACAAAAACTAGTGCTACAGCAAACGTGTTCATACGCCAGCATCGCATTTAGACGATACACTGACTCCGGTCACGTTTAAGATGCCTTTACTGTCACGCTGGACAAACTCACAGAGAAATTGTCCACCGGCAGCCCATCAGGACCCCATACAGGCTCTTTCTGATTACCTGCTCACACACACTGTGAGCTACGAGCTGAACATCGACCTGAACCGGCCGTAAATGCGTCGAGCAGCTTCTGAAGCTTTTATTTCTGAAGTCTTTGCTGCGATCGCCTCCTTCGGCATTTTTTGACATTGCTTCCCATTTATTTTCAAAGAAGAAAATCAGGTTGGAACTACAATGTCAAATTGGATTTCCACAACACGAATGCAGACTTTGAGCCAGCGTGCAGCTCCACTGAATTAATATTGACCAGCATCGACTGGACAGACCTCAGAACACAGCCGGAGCCAGAATAACGCTGGAGAGTTTGTCATAATATACTCCTCATGTCTGGAAGGAACCTGAATCTGTCTGCAGCAAACATGACACTTAACGGCTGGATTTGCACTGTTCTTCAATTATTCCACATCTAATAGTGTAAACGGTCATTTCTAGGATCAGGTATCTCTTCCTTCACACCGATGAAACCTCTGCTGTTCTTTAACTCAGTGGTCCGCGAGTATTCCAGCTCACCATTCAGATTTAATTAGAAATGCTCAAGTTGATATTCTCCGTTTCAGTCCCCCGACCTTGAGGGAGGCGAGTCAGAGCCTGGGCTCATCGCTAAATGAAGTGCCGAAGCCCGAAGGAGGGACGAGACGGACGGGGAAAAAAAAGGGAAGGAGAGAGGTGATGGCACTGACAAAAGAGACAGTGACAGCACGAGAACGGGGATAAAATCATACGGTGATGCACGAAAACATTCGCACACCCACACCTCCGAGATGGATTTTTCTTCATCCTCCGCTGCGGCAACGTCAATCAGAATGAGAATGAAAATCTTTGCGACTCAAATTGGATTTGCACTGATGAAGGTCAAGACAAGAGGAGCGGACTAATTCACGGAATGAGGATTGATTCTGATTGTTCTGCAGCTCATTTCTTCTTATTCAGTTTCTTATCTTGTTGCACTGCAGCCTGATGAAGCCTACTGTTTTTCCCCTGGACAGCCGGCATCCAAACATGACGAGTGTCATCCTGCCGATCCCTCTGGGCTCACAAACGGAGCGTCTGGCATCACAGTCTATTTGTCCTTACACAAAGCAAAGTGTGTTCTTCATTCTGGCCTCCATTACTTAGAGGTTACCTATATGTGACGTTTTTAGGAAGCTGTTTGCGCTGCAGCAGTGTTACCTGCAGACCTCGAGTCACGTAGTAATGAACTCAATCATCCGTGGTCTGTGTTTGTTTCAGCTAAATGTCACAACATCTGCAACCAGCATTTAGTCGTAGCTTTCATTATGAAGCTGAAGAGATTCATCATAAGTTTATGGTTTAAAACTGAAGGTGATGAAATCAAACAGCTCAACTAGTTATACGAAAGCCAAAATACTGAATTTAGAACAGAACAGCTGCTTGTAAACAGAAAGTATGACTGGATTTGCAACTTTCCAACGGTCCCTGAACTAACCGTTAATCAAATTTAAGCTTAAGATTAGAATATTTCATTAAAAATCAGTACGTTCTACATGTTTTAATTAACATGTTGCCACCGCTTGCACCAGATTCCTGCAAAAAAATTGAAATTCTGAGTGCATCCATGAACAGTCGCGTGACAAAAATGTGCGATTTGCAGGCTGTACTGCAGGTTTAGCTTACAGAGCAGATAGAGGAGAAGCATGCAAACAAATTAGAGACTCGAGCGATAAAATAAACGCAGCATGGCTCAGAAACAGCGAACGGAGGAGCCAGATACATCCAGCATGGTGAAACATCTTCCTGCAGCTGATGAGCACAGTAGCGCAGATTTACCGGTCATACACTACAGAAGACATTTTTAGGTGCCATCTTCTTCTGGCCACAGTTGTGCTGCTTCCACAGAGGTACAGGACTTTAGAATTCAGAGAAAAACGAGCCCACGGTGAAGAAAAGCAAAACAAACCATTCAAAGAGTTAATCTGCAGCAACTCTTGTGACTTAATCATTTAAGCGATTCCTTTTCAGCAAAACTGGCAAAAATCTGTTCATTATAGCTGCTCAAATGCGGGTATTCACTGTTTTTCCTTGTTTTATGACACTAAACTGCTCATATCGAACTTATACAACATCGTTTATCAAAAAAATAAATGTGGCACGGCTTAAAAATGGTAAACAGAGGAGCGGGTTGTTGGAAGATACATCCAGCACGGTGCATCGATACCTTCTATAGCTAGCCTTAGCTTCTCTAGTGCAGGCATTTGCTATTTTCTCAATGTCCTTTGATGCTTAATTGCTCAAATCTAACTTATAACATTCTTGATCAATTAAGTAAACGTGGCATGGCTCAAAAATGGTAAACAGAGGAGCAGGTTCCTAGAAGATTAGTGTGGTGTATCGATGCCTTCTACAGCTAGCCTTAGCTTCTCCAATGTGGGTATTTGCTATTTTTCCAATAGTATAATAATAGTGAACTGTTCATATCTAACTTTTATAGCGTACTTGATAAATAAAATAAATGTGGCACGGTTCGAAAACAGTAAACAGAGAAGTCAGTTGTTGGAAGATACATCCAGCATGGTGCATCTGTGCCTTCTATAGCTAGCATTAGCTTCTTCAATGCAGGCATTTGCTATTTTCTCAATGTCCTACGATGCTTAATTGCTCAAATCTAACTCATGACATTCTTGATAAATAAAGTAAACGTGGCATGGCTCAAAAATGGTAAACAGAGGAGCAGGTTGCTAGCAGATTAGCGTGGTGCATCTATACCTTCTATAGTTGCTTCTCCAATGTGGGTATGTGCTATTTTTCCATGTTTTATAATAGCGAACTGTTAAAATCTAACTTTAATAGCATACTTGATAAATAAAATAAATGCGGCATGGTTCAAGAATGGTATACAGACGAAGACACATTGAGCACGGTGAAGCATCTCTCTGGAGTTGGTGTGCAGAGTAGCGTGAAAAACAAAAGGTTGTAAAAATGTAAACAGTAAAATATGAGCCTATAAAGAGCAAAAAATGAGCAAGAAATGCTAAAAAGGAGTCCAGACTGTTAATTAACAAACAAAAAATAACCATAATTTCCCCCCAAAGTGCTGCTATTAAGTTCTACTGGTGTTATATTTACATGTTGCACACGATGGGATCGTCGTAGCAGCTGCTGCATCAAAATGAAGGAATAATGACATTTATGTTACAGCGGCACCGAGGCGGAGGAATCCCAGTGTTTCTCTTTAATTTCTTTGAGAGTCCACGCTTAAATGCCACGACTGAATCTTTCCCTCCTCCTGCTCGTAAAAGGAAAAACAAGTAATTTAGACGCCGCCATAGAAACTCGTGGTGTGTTGAAGGAACCGACATTAAAAGCTGAGAATTTTTTCTTTATTTTGCCAGAAAAAGCTTCTTTTTTTTCTCTGATCCTCCTGTGTGACACAAGCATTTTGGCATTTATTCTCTTTGGAAATTGTTTTTTGCATGTGAAACCCTTTAGATTAGAGGGAACAGAAGGCCGAAATGCAATAAAAAGGATTCATTTTTAGATTTAACAGGTAAACCGGTGCTTATGTAACCGTCCTACACGACATCCAGGTGGAAACGAAGACCTTTGGAGGATTACTGGGTCTTGTGTAACTCATTCAATGGCGCAAACCAGATGAAAGGTTTTGTCGAAATGTAGAACATCTGCACTCACTCGAAGGGTTCGCTGGGGTCGCCCTTCTGCAGCTCGGTGGGGATGGGGATCCGTTTGTAGTACATCTCCCAGTCGAACGCCCCTCGCATGGCGTCGCCCGCCTGCGTCTCGTAGCCGAAGTTGTCGTGGTCGATGACGTCGATCATCGGACACACGATGGTCTTCCTGTTCTGGGCGATCCGGTCTGATGGGAAACAGAAGGAGGCAGACATGTTGGCATGAAAGTCAGTAGCAGAAGACGCCGTTCTGGCTTTTGGACCTTCTACAGCCGAGCGACTCCCCCTCACAGGCTGCAGACGTCCGGCTTTTCAAACGAGGTGTGAAAGTACATATTTTCACATTGAGAAGAAAAACAGCAAGAAAATGCACGTTTGTTTAAAGATAATTCAGTTAATCATCTTGTAAACTGCTACATGTGTCATGCGGCGGAAACCGAGAAGTCCTTCGTTTACGTCCACTCTTGCACAACTTTTACGATCGTCAAAATCTTTCAGTTAATTACAGATTTAGCTCAGTCGATGTCCCTATATTGTTCTTGTAGATTAATCGTAGCAACTGGACTTGCTTGAGTTCCTTGAAGACGTTTCACCTCTCATCAAAGAAGCTTCATCAGTTCTTACTGACTAGTTGGGAGTTCCACATACTGATATCCATCAGTAGCCATTGATGCCTGAGTTTCAGTTTCAATTGGGGGTTTGTTGCTCCTCCCCCTCCTTATGCTAGTCGTTAGCGCTCCTCCTGCCACAAAGGGGTTCGTTAGGGTCTTTTGTGGCTAGGTGTGAATGTGGTTTCATCTTCCTGGGGAGAGTTCTTAAGACTGAATTGTAAGTATCTGGAAATCCCAACTAATCAATCAGAACTGATGAAGCCTCTTGGATGGAGATTAATTATCTTCAAGGAACTCAAGCAAGTCCAGTTGCTACGATTAAAATACAAGAATAACCACGACCTGGATGAATGAGAATCTTAACAGACATCCCCACATTGCTGTTTTAGTCAGAGTTAGTCTGTTCCATGTGACAAGAAATGCTGTTCTAGTCAATCTCAGTCTGTCTTAAACACATGAGTTCTGGTTGGAGGTCATTAATCGTCACAGAAGTCTTTGTCATGGTCCCGTTGCTAGCTAAACCCCCACAATGCTCTCTGCTGCCAACACGTCGTCTCAGTGATGCCTCCTCTGGTCTCTACAGCATTAAAGAGGACGAAGCTCCACCTGGTGGAACAACCAGGTACTACAGCTTATCTACATTTACTGGCATCGTGTAGAGAATACAGGTTTTGTCCGTCTTTAGGAGCTTATGGAGCCTCAGCACATCCTACCCTGTAACACTACATTTCTACTGGAGCTTTACAACAAGGTTCTTGAACACCTACGGAACATTAAGGCAGGGGTTCTCAAATGGTGGGTCGTGACCCAAAAGTGGGTCATGGACCTGTTCTGGGTGGGTCGCGGACAGCTGGTCAAAATTAAATAATATATAATGTGCGTCTCAGGTTGGACTTATTTTTTATTTTGAAAAAACTTTTATTTTGACAGGCATGGTAACCATAGTTTATTTGAAGTTCATTTGAAGTTTGTGTTGATGTTGGGACGCAAGATGGCAAAATGCAAATATGACCTGGAATATTGAAAATGTGGATTTTCATACTAGGGCTGGACCCGAATAGCCAACTATTCGTTCGCTGTGCTGGAATCGGGATATCAGTTTTGATCTCCAAATACTCTGAAACTCTAATCAAGAGTAGAGCATGTGCCCAATTGTCTCATTAACTTCAACAAATGACCTGATTAGGCCAAAACTTCATTTTCGAGCAGTTCTGATATTCATTTTATTCACTTTTCTACATGCAGTTGTCATGGCCCTCCTTAGTTTCTGATTAATTTGCTCAAAATGGAGTGAAAACATGTTGTTTGTGGCCTTTTTTATTTTGTGCAGTTTTGTACATGTACTTGTCATTGTCCAGTTACTGTGCATGGTTGTATGCTCTGAAATGCATGTTGCACAGGAAAATATATTGAATATTGAATTCTAAAAAAAAAATTGGGTCGCGACTTAATGACCATGGGAAAATGTGGGTCCCAGGGTGAGACCAGTTGAGATCTCCTGCAGGAACACCTTTCCTTATGCATCGCAGTGCTGCTCAGTTGTCAAGCACATACAGTGGACTGATTTTATTGACTTTAACGTACTTGAAGTGTGTACTATCTACGAAAATGGTATCGGATTAAAACTTACTATCATCTGCTAATAACACAACCAGCTTTTCTCCAGTAAACAACAAAAATATATGTACATAACAAAATCCAATGGAATGCTGCAACGCTCCAAAATGGAAAATTAAAGGAAACAAAAGAAACTAACAGCAAATATCACCAATATGTCATTTATTTTTTCATTTATTTATGTATTTGTGCTGTAAAGTTGTGTTTCTTTGGCTCGACGTGTATAATTCTTAGTTTTTTTAAAGCCAGCCTTCGCATCTTTTCCTACGTTTTTCATTTACTGGCTGAGACGAGTCGGGTTTGTGTCAGACGGCAGGTTTCTCACCCATCAGAGGCGGCAGCCAGTTGACGTTGGCTTCGCAGTGCGAGTCCAGGAAGGTGATAACTTCTCCTTTAGCGGCAGCAGCTCCCAGCAGACGAGTCCTGATCAGACCTTCCCTCTTCTTGGTCCTCAGGATGCGAACCTTCGGCAGCCGGACCATGTACTCCTCCAGCGCCACCTTCAGGTGTTCTGAAAGGACAACAGGACAGACGGCAGGATTTAGAAAAGTTGCAACGTCAGAGTGCAATCAGGCCGATAATCAAAAAATAATAATAATCCTCACTGCAAAAACCTAGAAAAATAACAATCTGATGTCTACATTTATTTAAAATCGTACAACCTTTTCTCTTCAGGATTCCTGATCTACCCACACGACAAATATTATTGTTAATAACAATAAGAGTTTAAAAATTTTTTTTTAAAAGTTTTGAATCTGGCAGCAGAGGTGCCAGAAAAATATATAACAATGGTTGAAGGCAACCTTTTTAAAAATAATGGCAAATATGAGTAAAAAAAAAAAAAAAATAGCCGATCCAAAGCTGTACAGTTGCGCATTGCAAAAGAACAAACTACTGTTTTCTAAAAAAAAACCACAAACTTTTCATGTGGACCTCATTTACAGTTTTGGTTTGTTTTAATTTTTTTTTTTTTTTCACAGTTAGACTGTGAAATAGTTATTTTTAACTAGATATTACCTGAAATTAAACAAAACAGAGAAAATCTGAATAACTGTTTTTTCAATGCTTAAAATGCATTATCTTTATTTTTAAATGACAAAAAATATCTGTAAAATCGTAACATTTTCTGAAGATAAGGATCAGAAGTTTTAAATAGTTTAATTACTAAAAATACATTTATGACGTGTACGTTGTTGACAGTTTTGACCATTTTTAAGGTTAGCATGGAAACTTTTGTTCTTTGATTTCACTGGATATTACCTTTAATTTAACAACACGGAATAAATCTGCAAAAATGACAGTTGAGCAAATGAACTGTCATTTTTCAATTCTTAATATCCATCATTTTTGTTTTTTAAATAACGGCAAACAAACGTATAATTAAGTAACACATTGTAAAAAAACAAACTATTTTTTTTTTTTAATATTAGAATTTTTTTTTATGGTTATTTATGGTGTAAATTAATACCTTTCTTTCTTACATTTTACTAGTTATCATGTGTGACTCAATTAAAACAGGAAAAATATGCTTTTATGAAAACAAGATTTACCATTTTTCAGTCTTAGTGTTTTTTTTTTCTTTCAAATAACAGCTTCTGTCTAAATAATGCTGTTTCTGCTAAATTTAATACAGTAAAATACAGTAATTTCATGATCACGTGGATATTATTTATGTTTATGTTATTTATGAAGGTCAGCATGTAAATTATTCTCTTTTTTGTTATGTTTTTCAGTAAGTTGCTCATAAAAGTACAGTTAAAAGCTGCTGTTAAACCCCTTTTACAGTGCAGGTAGAAGCAGACCAGGTGACTGTAGTTCAGAAAAAAACCTTTTGGTCAAAGAGTTTAAAACCAGCCTCAAGGTTTGGCTCAAAACCAACGACTGTGTTTTGTTTACTATATTTAATGTTTAATGTTGTACACTTATCGTTCTGGTTTTTGTCTTTGTATCCATGACAAAAAAAAAAAAAAAACGATGCAAATTAGCTGCTTGCAAACTCTGATTGCTTTTAACTGTCCCCACAAACACAAACAACAAAACCAGATGAAACCTCAGCGCCCGTGTGCAGACATCAGGTAAATAAGGGCCTGAACTTCACAACGTTCTCCACAAACGACAAACCCTCGCTAGAAGATCAAAAGGAAGCCAAACCATTAGCCATCAAACAACACATCTGCCGCCGCCACATGTTCCCGCCGAAATGTTCCCCTTCAGGCCTCGACATCATCACAAACCCTCGGAGGGAAAACTTCAGATTCTCACTGATTTTCTTCTTTCCGTCTTTACTGCAGTCATTAGATAGAATGTTACCCTCAAGAGAAAGAACCCGACTGTGAGGAATGAAAAAGGAATTAAATCAGCTCCTGCTAACATGTGCGGCCATAAAGGCTTTCGGCGAAAAGCTTCCTCTAAAACCTGCGATAAAGCTCATCATTTTAGCAAAACTCATAACGCCTTATGAGCGAGTCACTGCGTCCTCCGTTTATCTGCTCAGTTTACCGTCAGCGAGTAAAGAAAAAAAAAAGCCCGGACATGACGGCTGCAGATCTGCAATAAATCTCAACTCGGGAGGAGGTTTCGGTCAAACGGGCAGAGTTCTAAAACACCCCGAAATACAGTGAAAAGGTGAAGAAGTGCACGAGAACATGTAGACGACTCCAAAGAAGGCATCAATCAATCAAGGGAGACGGTTCTACGTCCACATCCTTCATCACAGCTGCCCTCGACAGGAATCAATCCCGCCCTAAATGGAGCCTGTAAATCTTTCAGCTTGGATGTCGAGTCGGTTCTGACAGGTCAATAAAAAAAAATAAAATTTAAAAAAAAAATGGAAGCACAGTGAAGTTTCTTTCCAAACGGCGTCAAACATCACAGAGCAACGCAGCGTTCACGAGGCCGATCCAATTCCTTCCATCATCTGCTTCAGTCGCCGACATCTTTGACGAAATTCATTTGCATCAAACGGCGCCTCGGCCGGACAGAGACGCCATATGGCCCGACCGACCCGCCAAGAAAAAGGCTCCACGTACGAGGCCGTCCACCTTGAGTAAACACGAAACAGATGCAGCCGACGCGACACTCAGACCGGCGTGACTCAGCGCCGTCTTTTAATCCATCTGTCTCCCCGAAACACAAACTGTCTAATTGCACACAAAGCCAACGTCTTTACCTCGACACCAGTTCTGGTTCAAACAATAACGCCGCTATTAACGCAACTTATTAGTTTTTAGAATGCACACTTTCTACATCTTCAACCTGAAAAGCAAAGCTTGGAATCGTCTCAGCCGATCTTTACCATGGGCGAGAAATAGACCGACTGTCGTGGTCGATATTTCGACTGATTATCGTTATTTTGTTTGAGTGATTGTTGATAAATTGAAAACTTCAGAGCATCAGAAAACGTCTCTCAAGCAGCAAAGACTGAAGAAGAAACGCAAACCAGGAAGTTAGCTGCTCTCAGAGTGGCTAAAGCTACGCTAACGGCTAGTGGCTAAGTTAGGAGGCAGCTGCAGATTAACCTGAAACCGGACAACAATAAATAATAAAGCTTCAATGTACGGACCTTAGTGGGAAATAAAAGTGACAGAACATTGAAAGAGTAAGAAAGCAGAGAAAAGACAAACTGATTGATCTCAATTTAATCTCTCGAAGAAGCCTAGTTATGAACGACAGGTTTTCGAATATCACATGCTGTTGAAACATTAAATGTAATGGATATCAGTTCCAAATATCAGTTATCAGGATTTCTTTTTTGACCAAGAATTCGTATCGGCCCTGAAAAAACCCACATGGGTCGATCCCCACAACAGAGTGTGGATAAAAGATGGACCAAAAGTCTGGGATATGGCCGTCGCCATCTTGGTTTTTTGAAACAAAGAAATGCATATTAAGAGCTACCAGCGCTCCGTAACACACTGCGCTTCACTGTTTTATACATTTTGTAGATGAAATTAATTCATATATTCATCAATTATACGAACACCAGGTTATGGCGTCATGCAAACGGCATCATATCCATTATACCAAACAACAACATTGTCGGGTTTTTTTTGTCCGATGGGAAGAAAAGCAGAAAATGTCGACAGAAGCTTCCCAATAATTTAACCTCACGTGGGAATAAACCAAAGATTACTTTTATGACTTATAAATGAACGGTCAATAATAAAGAATTACACATTAAATGAACCAACGTGGATATTTTATGAACAATAATCATGATAAATATAAGAAAAGCTGGCCTTTTTCCACACAATACCAACAATTTTTCTAAGGCGCATCTTTACGCTAGACCAAAGACTGTTTATAAAAAAATGAATTATACATTAACTACCATGATGTCGACTGTTTTGAAGCCTTTTAAGTTTGGAATATCACCGTCTTCGAAACCGGACAGAACTCGAGGACGCTCTGCAGCTGAGTGATGCTTCACTTATAACGGCCAACGTCCTCAAATCTACCCTTCTTTATCGTTTATTTTTCTGTAAATGGGACCATGATGTATGAAATGAGCACCACGTTTTATTGAAGCAGACTTCAAACTACACATTGAGACTGTTGACTCATTACAAAAGCATTCACTGAGGCAACAAATCAAGTCGGCTCATTTTCTCACAGACTTCTATACAATCTGCAACCGGAGGAGTCGCCCCCTGCTGGCTGTTGAGAGAACGCAGGTCTCACTTCATTGTTTAATTATTTATTACCGTTTTCTCATGAAACTCATGAGAAACACACAAGAGAGTCCCATAGGAGCAATTCATGACATGTTTCTTTATCATTATCAACCCCATACACGCACTTTACTCCCTTCAACATACTGTGAATGCTACGATCACTAGTTTCATGACTCTGGACTCAACTTTGATCGGGTTTTCGGTGCCGACAGTATTCATCCAGAACAAACAGACACATGTGCCAAACCTCGAGCTCTGCATTAAAGTCAAACGAAGCTTCGCCCTGTCCTGAGGGTAAATAAAACCAACGATTAAAATAAATTAAATTAAACTTGGGTTATGTCTGAAAACATAACCGTTGCAGCGGAAGCATTTTATTCTGCACGTCTCATTTAACATTTACCCCCAAAATAAACGTTTTTCTCAAACTAGATTCTGCAGAAAACTAAAGATTCTGCATTTCTTGATGTGACGGTGAAGCTGTTAGTGAGTCGGCTGCAAAATAATGTATCTAAAAATGCTTCAGTCAATCTGATCGCAGTGAAGAAAAATGTTGTAAAGCCTCAGAGCAAAGTTGTGTTTAAAAAAAATAAATATATATATATATATATAATGCTTCAGTCAATCTGATCGCAGTGAAGAAAAATGTTGTAAAGCCTCAGAGCAAAGTTGTGTTTAAAAAAGAAGAAGAAGAAAAAAATATATATATACATATTTTTTCCCCCAGCTCTGCTCGTGTTAGTGGGAAGAATTCAGAGCTGATTTTTGTCTCTTCACTCCACGATAATTAAAAGATAACACCAGCACTATCCTATAATTCAGTTACCAGCCTCACAAG